AGTGTTCGGGTGATGGACATTTCCATAAAACGTGATCCGTGTTCCCGAAACAACTGAAAAACAAATTTCCCGAGGACACATTTACGTGATGGAGACCGGATTACTTGTTGTTCCTCCGATGGCGCACTGATTTACCCTTGAACTACGAACAAATATCGATCGATTAAGAAACTGAGTACAAGCACTGAGTCAACCATCGAAAACTCATTAAAAAATGCTCTGCAGTGCAAAACTTTTCGAACACAAAACCCAAAATGTTGACACCTCTTAAATGATCATTTTTGACTACAGCGTTGTTTTAATAACGTACCTCAATTATTCGACTTTGTGATACTCGAACACACAAAATAGAATAGAGTATAAGTTTTTCCCATTACAAAATTTACTCTTGCTATTTGCAGCCATAAAAAGGTCATAAACATGAGAAATTAATGGTTGTCAGGTCCGTTTTCACGATAAGGCAAGGTTGAAAAGCGGCTGGTGAGACCAATTGGCAACTTTTCAAAAAGAGGGCGGTTGAAGCAAAAACCGAACAAGATACTCACAGGGGATCATTATACTAACCTTTAGATAAAGGCATAAATTTAGAGAATACGATGTTATCCTCTGAACATTGCTACATCTCATAGCTGTTATTTGTTCAAACTGGACAAACTCATCGAGGCCTCAAATGGTTTTCTAGGTCATTCAGGGTTTACCATCTGACTCAAAGGACTTAGTTTTCCACTTACTGTGAGTTAGACCCAAGTTACCAATTAACCTGTATATTTTTACGACCGTGAATTATTTGTAATTTCCCTTTTTATGCAACGACTAAAAAACACAGGAAAAGGGACATATTTGTTTTCTAATCCACGAAAAATGTAAAGGCGTTAGAGCACCAACGTGGCTAGGGCAACCAGACGCTAGACGCCAGTGGTTTTGGAAGCCAGGCAATTGCACACTTTCATCTTGATTTAATTTTTGAAAAAAAAGCTTAAGACCTGGAGTTCGTCTACGGTCCTCTGATCGATTTCTACGAGGTCGCAGGGACGTACCAGAGCCACACCGCCCGCCTTCAGTCACGGAGTCAAAAAGTTGTTTGAACTTTGCCAAAGTAGCCCACTTACTTTTCATCGACCGTGTGCAACTTGTAGCCCAAACATGGAGAGCAGTGACGTTGTACGATAAGGCCCACAATAATTTATTCACTTAGATTCATTTATGTTAGCATGTCCAAGCAGCATAGTAAGTGGGTTATAAAGCGTAAATATATATTCACTAACAGCATCTAATATATGCTTGTTATACTTTGTGTAGGTTAGTGTCTGCAAGTTAGGGAAGCAGAATCTCCAGAGTTTGGTTTTGAAATGTTGAAACCAAAACAAAAAACAACAAACAATGTGGTCCAGATATTGTCAATTTCTTCCATCAAAAGTTGATATTTAAGCAAATACCGGGCTTAGCTAGTGCCAAGTCAAAAGTAAACTTCGAGACACCAAAACATGCAAATTTTAGATCAATTAATACGGCAACGACATTTCGAGGCATCATATGAATGAACTCGGAGTTGTCATAGGATTCAATGGAGTGTAAGGTCTTAAGTTTCCTTTTAAAATTGCTTAGCTTTACTTCGCATTGTGGAATCGCCATCACATTCACTACTGTTTGGACTGAAAAAGTGCATAAATTCATCTGCTTAGTAGCCACACTTTACTTTGAACAGCCTAGTCTATAGCCGCATTTCTGCATGGTCCTGGGCAACATGACGGCGACAGGACAGGACATGAGGTGTCCAGAGCAGACAAAGACGCCATTACTTGGGGGCAGTACCTGTCCCTTTTTTGTGTGTCAATGTGAATTTGAATATAATGCAAGGCAAACGATCGAAAGTGAAAAAAGCATCAGTGTGCAAAAGCCTGTGTGTGAAAACCTAAGCGGAAATTAACTAGTCGAAGTTCAGAGCTGTTCGTTCAGGACCAGATAAGATTCGTGAAGGTTCTTAAGAATATCTCACGTAAGAGAGTCAATTGTCCTCAACTTTCCCTTCAATTAGAGGAATAGAGGTCTGGTGGTGAATCACTGTAAGGCTTCATCTCTACGATAGAGACGGGGATGATTTCTGTGTTCTGAGTGCTGTTGCATTTGCCGCTGATGTGTTAAACGATACAAACCTTTCCCCTAAGGAGTCACCTGGAGGTCATTCGTCTTTCTTTAGTTGAAGATCATTGTAAAATTGCGGCGAACTAAATAAATCAAGTCACACATCGCCTAAACGCTTTGAGCTACTACGTTTCACTGCTCGTTTGTAGCAGTGGTCGTGTCGAGGTACTGATTAACGGGAAGACCAATGGATGGTTTTGGCTTGGGTCTGTTGTTTGACGATGTCCTCGTGCATAGGAGAAGTAGCTTAAGAGGGCAGATGGACATGGTGTCTTCCTTTTATTGTGTTCTCATCGAATAATTCTAAATCATGCATTATAAGTGAGTCGGCAGAGGATGGACATGTTGCATGAAATAACATGTTACCATCTACTTCATTCCTGCACTGACTACTTCGGAACACAAATTTGAAGTGTTTTCCGGGGATATTTCTAGAAACTCAGTCAATTGTTTCTGAACTTGGTGATGTTGATGAAGACGGTTTTTCGAATAGCAGGCTTTGTTCTACTTTATAATACTGGAAATAGGTACCTGTTAACAGATTACATAAGCTGGACGCGTAAATAGGCGTTTTCTAGGATGCAGTACTACTTTTTTGAAGATACGCAACCATGAATGCTTTAAATTCCTATAAATATACTACAGGTTCTAAATTTAACCAGCTTGACTGATGAGATCCAGAGGGATGATGAAATGCCCACAACACTTGCTATAACCGATGATTTGTGTTTGTTGAAAATTGAGCAGACTGCCAATGAAACTCTAAATACTCAAGGTTAGCTAATTAAAATAGAAGAATGTTAAATGGAATATCTGCAAAATCGTGTGAAAACTAAGGCCGACATCATTATTTCAACAGCAGAATCAAAAACATCCAAATAATTCTGTTTAAGAAGGGTCTATTTGGAGGATCGATTTATGTGGTTGCATGAATTTATCGCCGGTCTGGTTCCAGTATTCAGGTAAACACACAAAAAGAAATTTATGCGTTCAAACTCATTAGAACTTTTCATGGCTTGTCTTGCTGTACGAAAATCGCGGAATTGTGCTTCCCAGCAAATGTAATGCCACTTATGTAAAACCGGGTGGTCTAATCCAACAGGAAATTTGGCGACGAAGCATCATGCACGATCTTCTCAATCTTGTCAGATAAACCCGATTAACCTCAAGGGCAGTTGCCACAACACTAGTTGTCTACCACAAATCTTCACTTGACAGCTGCGTGAAGCACCGGAGTTTGCCGTGAACTTTCGTTCACACGAGGCGTGTGTCGCGAACAGATTGCAGGGTGAGGACTGCTGACAGGAAGAAGTTTTGTAGGTCTACCCCCAGCACAACTACTATTGAATCCGAGTGCTGGATTGAGATCAAAGCCCTAATCATAAAGGCCTGCTAACTAGAGACCTGAGAATGTTAATAAGGCAGCCTTAGTTTGATCTATGGTAATGCAGACGTCTGAGCTAAAAGTAGCAAGAGGTGTGTTAATAAGTTGAAAACCAGTAAACCCATCATGGTCACTCTTACAGCATGCTGAGTGTTAAGATCGTTCTTTCGGTGTTGTACCCAAACGTACGCATTTCAACAATAATTACAAAACGATGGCGTGGAGAGAGAGAGAGAGAGAAAGATGAGGGTGCTTGACCACGGAGGACGAAATGACTGACCTTTGGATTTTGTTTACGTCCTATTAACCCCGTATAAACATGAACTGGTTAAACTGCTGGTGCAAGTTGCAGATTGCGACTGGCTGGGTTTCGTTACTATGTCTGTGCGAATTATTATACAAGGCTCATTTCATGGTAAAACATGCTAGCGACCTTACTATTCCCGTTGTGTTACTACCCGCGATTTAAACCACATTAAGCGATTGGAGTTCCATGTTTTCTGAAACTAATTGGACTCTAAAAATCTTAAAATGTATTTCTTAAATCATGCTGCGCAATCGGCAAGCTGCTGAAACAGGTTTGAACGCAGGTAATGACTTATCCATGTGATAAGTGTCAGGATTTGTATTAGTTTAATCAGCCCAAGGAAATTCTACGAAGTAATACTAAACTGACTCGTAATGCGTGACGTAGTAGTTTTAGCGTGATAGCCTCTCATATGCTACAATGCATTTAACAGTCCTAAACTTTATTAAGGGACTGTCTATCGAAACTGGAGAATAACCACATCCTTACTTGAATTGGTCTCGCATTAGGTAGGTAAATGTTATGCTAAACTTAGGAAAAACAGTTGACTTAAAATTAGAAAGCTGCGTCTTTTGTGAGTAAGTCTTACGAAAAGGCACTTGTAGATGCAGAAGTCCGGGGTGAAATTTCCAGCCGAGAAACAACAAAGCAGAGCATTTCATGCAAAAGTTCTCTAAAGAATCGATAAACTTTGCACAGGCGAGAAAGGGGTCAGGCTTGTTTGCACTTAGTCAATCAGTTGCTCATGGGGCCGTAGGGTCTCGGAGACTTGGCAGCTAAGGTGCAAATCACATACACCTCGTAGTGTATTGCGCTAACACTACATTTAAACGATCATCATCTGATATTGCATTCCGGATTTGTCGAATGTAATACCAAACCGGCCGCGAACTCACCACCAACCGGCTAGCGTTAAGGAGGTACTCCGTTCAAGATTAGTACATACAATTGGAGCAGTTCAACACAGTGGAGGGTGAGTCAGAAGTAAGCGGGCAGTCGAAAATTGGAGTGAGGGCTGGAAATGGCGACCACTTACTCCACTAGATTCCTCGGTTTTTCAGAGTGAAGTGAATGTTTTAGGAAATCCAAATGGTTTATTTTGGGAAGCCACATCCTACCAAGAGAGTTGCTGAAATATATTGGAGAGTTCTTCCCTACGGTCCTAACCGTCCTCGTCCAAGGAGTGCAACAAGTCTGGTCGTCTTGGGCTCAATCCATCATTTAGAGGTGTCGATGTCATTTGGAGTGTGTATTGTTGATTTTCGCGTACTGAAAATAAAAGTATTGAGGGGGTCTAAAAACGAAGAAGCAATTGCAGGTAACCTTAAGTGGTTTGAGGTTAGTGGTAATTTTTCTGTGTAGACGGAAATTGACTTCCTATACCCGACGATACACTAAAAATGGCGCAGTATGAGTGCGGTGGCTCCTACGAAAGTCGCAACGATTTTGTCACCGGTGTTCAGACCGCTCAAAGGATCTGTCCCTAAAACCGATAATGCATCATGATGGACAATCATGAGCTGGTTATTCTTGACTTAATCCTAACTGCAGTTGAGAAAATATTTTGGAATTTTATGGAATAATTTATCGTGGTTCTAATTTACATCAGGTAGAGTCGCCAAGTTATTCAACGTAAGTTTTCGTTGAACTCCAAAAATTCTCGGCAAATGAACTTGGGGTTCAAAAGTTGAGCTATTCATTTCAGTTAGTTGTGTGTGATTTTTTGTATGGGCCATGCCGGGTGAAAATTAGACGAAGTAAACGCACGCGAACGGATGACTCATCGGCCCGGTTATGTGTTCGTTCGTGTGCGTTGCCATGGCCGTGGGATTAGCGTCGTTTTATTGTGGGGGTGGCTCATCGAGTCATCCGGCGAACTGCCATTCTAGAAACAAGCCAACACGTTTGCTTGTCCCCAATTCCCCAAGTCCTCTTAACGCCTTCCAAATTCATTGTGATGGCGGGCAACAGCAGATAATCTTTCCTATCTGCCAGGTTTTAGTGACGACATCTATACTGATTAGGTTTGAATTAATATTCCATTAATACAACCGGTAAAAAATGGCTTCTACGGTATTTAATAACAGGTAGTCTTAACGTACTTGAATGCTAACGGGGGGGGGAGTTGAGTAGGTAGTGTAGGAATGCAAGAAAAGCTCCTAAACAGCTTAAAAATTTTTCAAGGGTTTCTCAGTCTAAGGCCTTGTGTTTTTCATTTACAAATACAATCACTACCACATGGAACACGATTTACTTTTCTTACAATCAGGTCCTGACGTCGCAAAGACCTTTTGAGGTAACTTGTGCAACCATAATTTTAGATAAGTAAATATGCAATTCTGGGGTCAAATCAGAACGCCAGGTACAGGTATTAATGTATGGAATAGAACAATCCGGAGTTTAGGCATTTTCATCACTCCATACAAAATGGATCAAAGTGAGGAAAGGGCTTCTCAAGCAACGGAAAAGGAGCAAGGAGGATGTTGACTTACTCATAACTACCACGAAGCAGTAGAGTAGCAAATGCTCCTGGTATAAGGTGAGTTATGAGGGTAGTAATGACATAAATTAGTCACAATTTGTAGACACCGACCACCCTCCAGAGAGGAGACGACCTTGTCTGGTGATCCACGTAGAAGGGAAGGCCTTGGATCGCCACATGTTTTTCCAAGGGTAATACTCAGATTGGCACGGCAGAGAATTATCCAGCTTTACCGCTGGCTGACGGCATATTTTCTTATGAGATTTGGAGTCATTCGAATTAGCCAAGGAATCGTCACTTACTTTTGGATTTGTGCGCGTCTAGGATGACCAGCACAGTTGGTGGCCCTAAAATACACCTTCCCAATTACAAAAATGAGATGTGATGGTTGGAATCCACACCGGGGCCAGATGAACTGCTCAGAATTGTGGTTTACAGGTACTTATGCATCCAAAATGTCAGGTTAGAATAATTCTCATTTGCTGTTTTTGGTGGTTTTTATTCTTCATGCAAAAATATTTAGACAGTAACTGTGGTTCATGGATTTATGTAGACATTCCAAATTCGGTGGTTTCTAGGACCTCACCTTTAAGCCGAGTGTTGGACCACGATAGACGTGAGTGGCAGGGCAGTTTTTGCACTGCCTTTGTGAACCAACTCTACATACTCACGAATCACATTACACGGTCTTGCAAGCCTCTAATTTGCCAAACTGACGCCATGTGAAAAGGCAAAACTCCTTCTCGGGGTGGGTGGGGGGGGCTGGTGGTGGTGCACGCTTGGTACTTTCGTTGCGATCAATAAGGCAGCAACCTTGGCGACTTTCGCTAATTTAATCACAACAAAAGCACTGTTTCGTAATGGGGTCAATCGTCTCGCCTCACCCCATCCACGACACAACGGTTATGCCACTGAGTGGGACCGACAAAGTAACAATCAACTGCAAGTCTAATCATTGATTTTCTTCCAATACTCGGAGTGGAAAATAATTGTTAGCTCTAGACCTACGGCTATCTGGGAATGTTTGAAGGGATTTCTGTATCAAATTAGACATGTGAACGATTATGGTTACCTTCCAACATACAGTGCAAAGGAAAGCAATTAACAGTAAGAATCCCGTGCTTGGTGGCCGCGAAACTGGATTACACTGCAGCTAACTTTAATAAGCAAAACGTCAGAATAATTGCTTGATTAACCAGTGCTTGGGTCACCACTTTATGCTTTCCTTGCAAAGCTCTGTAAAGAAGCCCTGGATGCAGCAGACAAGAACAATTCGCACGGTTGAACGCGTATTGACCACCGAGGGGCTCAGACTTACGAACCTCCGTGCAATGCACAGTAGAAAGGCGTTAATTGGCATGGTTCCGCCGCGCGCAAAGGTGTTTATGAAAACCTCATAAAAAACACCGTAATTTCTTATTCGGCCATATAACATCGATTTGCATTTTCACCTTTTTATTGTACTTAAAAAGGTTCGGAAACAATTCATATGCCTAGGACTATACGTTTGACTACAGTGTAGCAAATTTGCTTGGGTTCAATTGAAAAATACCCGATTGCTCTTTATGATATTAGATAACAGAGAGGAATTGGACAGACCACGTAGCACCATGAGCAGTCTAACAAGTGTGCTACATTGGCTTACTGTTAAAGATGTGCCGCATTCAGATGGGGACAAATTTCAGACCGGAGCCTAGCTGAGGGTGTGAACTTCATTCGGGCCACAGTAGACGTGATTCGATGGCCATAAATGTTGTGTATGAGTCACTAAATACCTATGCTTGAGTGATTTGGCAAACGTCATGTGCGCAAAATCTAGTCGACTGCTAATAAAGAGGCATACCGCCTGCGAGCTAGCCGTCAGGAGGCAGAGGGCCTCCACTGGCAACTCGACTCCCACAAACTGAAAGTGCTCTTGACGGCAAACGACAGCGCTCTGACTAATTGGGGGCAAAGTTGGAAGTGTTTGCCTCGTTGCATTAAACCACCACCACCCTGGCCGTCGTCAGTTAGTCGGAGTTCTCGGATTAAAATCACATGACCTGGTTGCAGCCAATTTAGGCGGAGGCAATTGTATTGCTGCTAGAAAGCGGAAAAGTGGGCTTAACCAAGTAAACAGCTCAGCCAACCAATGAGACCAGGAATTGAAAAATAGACTCCGCGTGTGAGTCACGCCAACGGCCCAGACGGTGAAGCCAGCGGACGGTTAAAATTAGTAGCTTGTGTTCACCCCAATAGCATGCTTGCGTACAACTCGCGCGCTGTTAGTGGCAAAGGCGACCTCGGAGATGATGACTGTTCAGGCAAAAAAGTGATAATGGCTGCAACAGCACGCCTTTGCGTCGGTCAGAGTCATACTTAGGGTAAAGGGCATAGAAAATTCCTTCGCATGTACTTCAGATTAACAATGGGCGATGCTTCACCAATAGCATATCAAGACACATCAACAACGCACACACAAGCCGCAAGCAGTCGAAAGATGATTGGAGTCGGAACCCAGAGTAATTAGCATGCAGCACAGTCCCCAGAGTAAGCGTAGTAACTCCGCCAGCGAAGATGAGGAGGCAGTACACGCACACTCGGCAAAACGAAGAAGGGAGTCACAAACGGAGGTGTGGGTCCTCTGACGTCCCGCCAGAGCCAGCGGATCACGTGCACGGAGGCACTTAAAGGGGGCAGCAAGCCCGCGGCCCTGCCGTCCACATCCCGTCTCTCCCCTCCCCCCTCCCTTGTCGTCACGTCGGTCTGACCCCACCCTACCAGTTTGCCGAGATGGGGTCCGTTTGGTGAAAATTTAATCTAACATAAACAAATGCAATGCAAAATTGTGATGGTACAGTGTGGCTGTGCTTAAAAGGCGCACGTTGGGCAGGAGTGAACAGAGTCGTGGAGGAAAATGTCGCAATCAGCGCAGAAACTGTTGCCACATTTCGTGCATTTGTAGGCCTGTAACGGAAAGAAATAACAATACAAAACCAGGTTTCTAACATAGCACTTTATTGCAGATGAATAGCGATGCTGCGACGACCGCAGGGACCTAGGTTTTAATTACCTAACAGTACACAGTAATGGACACTGTGACGATACAGAAGTCGTTTATTGGCGGAACGTGAATCCCTGAATTACTAAGTGCGAAACAGCCACGCTGGGGACCGAGGTACCCGGCTAACAACGTGACCAGGAGGGCATAAGCGCCTCTGGCCACTCGAAGGGCCGCGGGTTTGGTGAGGGGATGGTGAAAACGGGCAGACGAGGTGCCGCATAATGCAGTCCCCTTTGCACATTGACTTGGGCCTACACGAAAACAGTTGCACACGTTACAACGTGGGGTGCGAGTGGGCGAGGGCGATACCCAATTCGGCTACGCAGTGTGGAAGCATGCAGTGTGACATGCACTGGCCTTGTGCTGTGCTCACATGCCTGAAGGACCCACTGTTTAATCTAGGGTGACTGGGCACAAACATCCTACGCCTTGTGGGAATCTGTGTTGGGAAAAACTCGCGTTGAGGAGTCACAGAAAGACAGAATCCAGCAGAGGCTAGTGCTGCTGAGCGGGTTTACGGAAAGCAAGGAAACTTCACACTTCTTTGCTAGGCAATGACGACATACTGGTGACAGAAATGGCGAGTCATTGGTGGCACAAGTCACTCGGAGGTCTGGTCCAGGATACCAGTAGATGGTAACTTTCGTGAACCGAACCCACGAGGATTCGGCTCGGCAGAGGATACCGCGATTGACGCAAGCAATGCAAAACGTGCGCCATTGAAACATGAAGGTCTTTCCGGTAAAATGACCACGCAAAATGGCGAATTCTCAGTGCCTGAGTATAAGGTTGAGGTGATGCGTGTTCATAAATTCTACTTTTTGCAGGAAACTAGTAGCTCCACATAATTTGCATGAACCAAAACTGAGAACAGAAATGAGCGAAAGCCTCACCGCGGGCTTTGAAGACAAGAAAACGCCACAGCCGGCGCAGCAGTAGGGTCCACCACCATCTGAAATAGACGAATTCTCGGAGCGTGGAACTTCTGTGAAAGTGAGAAGGGGAAAGAGGTGGTGGTAGGCTCGAGCGAGGTGTGGAGCGGCCACCAAGGTAATACCGCACACCGTGCACTCCACTGGCAATTCGCAGTAGACGGCACGACAACGAGGGCAGATGTAAGAGGCTGTTGCTTTGAGAGGTGACCAACTGCCAACGGTTGGAGCGTTGTTATTCAGAATACTTGGGAGGTGACTAAAATTAAAGATGCAGAACACAAGCTTAATCAAATCTCTTACAAAACACACTACTTATTAATGGTAAGTAAACATCAATTCTGACATTCACCAATCGTGTGGTTTCATCAATTGGGGAAATCAAACGAAAATAACTACGAAATTCGAGTACTTACCACATGCAATTTTTAACAGGGAACTGCTCAAAGTCAGAAGGTTTCGAATGTGGGAAGCCTTGGTAGCAAAAAACCTCAATTACCACAGCGAAACTGAAACCAAAATCGCGAACAACAAGATGAACTCACCAATACGAATAAGAGTAGCCTCAGATTCTTCCTATGGAGAAAAAAAAGTTACTGAGGAAAACAACGAAACCCATCAGCCACTTTGGTAAACCAAACCATGGTAATAGAAGATGAAGTGCGCCCAGAAATGTTATTGAGGTCTCGGTGAGCAAAGCTAGGCAATTGGAGGAAATTCAAGGCTTACTGAGACAGTCTGAGGGGGCACAAGCTCTTGGAGTGTTGCCTTCAAGTGCGCTGCATCCAGAATGACGTGGAGGGAGCCTGAAAAGATGCGCAAAAGACGTCATGAACGAAATGAGAATTTGGGGCAGCACGCAACCCTGCTCACTGGGCACACAACTTCGGATAACCAGGCCGGTAAAGCAAAGCGGGGCAAAGGAGGCGAATGCAGTGAAACTCCCTGGCAATTAAGGCGATTTCTTCGTTCGCATTAGGTTCTTTCCAATCTCGAAGTTGTGAGGGAAATAAACAAGCCTCAACTACCATCCAAGCACATCTCTTAGTACAAAAAGTAGGCGATTTCCCTTTTTCCCCCAACGTACAAAGCAGAAGATCCAAGCCAAGTGGAAATGCTTTTGGATTTGGAGCAGTTAGGAGGCGATGGCACAAGCAGAACCCGACACAAAGCATACCAACGACGCTGGCACTGTGAAACACACTCGGACGAAGGTTACGAAAGCACACAGAGAAGTCCTGCAAGGCAGGTCAGGCTTGCCTGCTCAGAGGGGAGCTGTGGGAGTTGAGCTACGCCAAACCTACTTTGTGTCGCCTCGGCAATCGCGCGATGCACGAAGACCTCCACGGCGAGGGAGATGACGCTGCAGCGGATCCGGTGGGTGATGAGGCTTTGAATGGTCTGGTGGATGTCGCCTGGGTCGCACGTGGTTAAGGAGGCCACAACGAGGATGATCTCCCGGGAGCTGTGTGCTGGCATGTACCTGCAAAGACAAACTTGAAGGAGTCATTCAGGCACGTGGGCGGCGACCGCTCTCCTCAACACGCGCATCCTGTACTTCGTAATTGCTTGACTGCACAACAATGACCGAACATTAACCGTGAAGATATGCAGGCTGAAGTATCGAGGATGAATAGCGTGGAGATCAAACACTTTCGTGACGCGATTTTCGTGGAGGGCTTTTAGCACCATAGATTCGTGGTCCACTCGAACTAAACAGAAACGACCTCCTGGACGCAAGGGTTACTAATCGGACAACGAATATGATTTAATGAAATCCACGTATAGGGTAAGCGCACCCAGGTCGAACATAGAAAACCATCGACATGTAGGAAGAAACTGCCTCTAAGGAATGTCGGGAGGCCACCACTTCACAACGCATTTGCGCGCGAGTCTATTTGTGCGCTCAAACAGGGAGTGCGCACCTTACCGTACACGAGAAATTATAAGGGTCATAATACACTCGAGTTTAAACATGGATGGTCAATTAAAAAGTTATACTGATTAAGAGATAAACAAAAGCTCATGACAGTTTAAATATTCAAGAGGCTATTGATTTGATTGGCTACTAAGTGTGGTGAACAGGCGCCATCTAAATCTCACAATTGTAGCTTCGATGATGGTGAATAAGTGAACGAAAAACAACAAAGTGCGAATTTCGAACACAGGGTCATCTTTCCCGCGATCCCGTCAATTATAGACATGAGTTCGCTGCGAGCACAATCTGTGAAAGATCACACACTTGACGATTACCTGACCCAACTGTCAAGAGTAAAAACAAAATTCATTAAACACACCTTTCTACGCAATACCACGAGGTGATCTTAAGCGACAGTGGCTGGTCGTGTTTCCCAGTTGCTACTTAATATTTATGATACACATACTTTTTGACAAATCGTCGGTTCGCAGACGCTAATAACTGATTTGAGGCTCACACAATGGATCCTGCCCCCAAGCACGACTTTTCCACAGACACAACCAATGGTGACGCGGTCACAAAGCTGGGGCCTCACCTTAATCGAGACTCTGCCATTGTAAGGGCGTTCTGAATGCTCGGCTCTCCGATGCACTGGCGTTTGGACAACTCCTCGAGGGCTACCAAATGGCGGGCGGGGCTGCCTAAACAACAAACGCGACGCGATTTACAAAGGCAGAAAAAAAACAGCCACAGGCCCATGCCAAAATGACCTAACGAGGCAGAATGCCAATTCAGAAGACAAATCAGATTTAATTTTCCAAACCAAAGCTATCAGGGTCAGGGAAAGAGGTTGATAAAATGAGGGCGCTAGACACCAGCGTGTCTGGTGAAGCAAACGTGAATGCGTTCAAGAGGCTTGTGTGATAAAGCTCAAAGTGAGAAAGAGGTGTGGTGATTTTCTAACCTGCTACTCAAGCAGGCGCGACGGCGGTTCAAAAGTAAGGAAACCGCAGATACGTAATTGCAATTGAAGATAAAGCTCGACGCAAAAAACTGGCTTTTTATCTTTTTGAATCAGTTATTGGAGATTTCACTAATATTGCAACCAATAAACCACATTTCATCGGATCTAAAAGTTGGATTAGGGTTAATGAAAAACGGGCGACAAAAAGCAAACAATGTCCTAGCCAACACCGACTCTTAAAACCGGGTTTGGGAAGAGTGGGCGAGGGATAACAAGACAAGAAAAAGTAATCCTTGAGTCCGTCATGCCAACAGGGCATTTATTAATTAAGGAAAGTGAAGAAGACGAAAGAGGGGATGAGGCGACCGAGTACCAGAAAGTTGGCTCATCGGTGCTCGGCAAAAGCCGGCAACCACGCGGCGCCGACAGCCCGCCACCGCCGCGACGTGTCAAACCTTTCCCCCACATTTCTATGCAGTGACCCGCCTTATGACCAACACAAGACAAGCACAGGTACTGAAAGTGAGCAGCGAGAGTGCGCAGCGTAGCTGGCAACGTATGAGTAAGCCCTCACCACTGCGTGAGCATCAAAGCCAGCAGGTAGCCAGCTAGTACGGCCTCACTGCTTATGCTTAATCGGCTCACGCCACAACGCCATGAGAATGGGGCGAGAATAGGCAGGGGAGAGTGAGAAGTGCAAGTCTTGGCCTTACCAGAGAGTTCGGTGATGCGCTCAGTCTTCGAACCAGCCATGGCGATAATTCCTAACTGGCTTGTGGGGTTCTGATCGAAGTAGTCTTCCACAAACTTCGCTAGCCACTTCATGATAGAAAATAATAGTCATAATGAGAGAGATACGAAACGACAATAAGGCCGATAATATTCTCTATTGAGGTCTGAATTAACAATGACACAGAACGTGGAAAAAAAACTACTGAGCATATAGTAAATTCAGAGTGAGCTAGTCATTAAGTGGGCTGAAGGAGAACAAAACGCACAGTTAGGTTTGAAGCTGCTTGAATAAACGCAACACATAATTTGGTTATAATGAATCATACCTTGATTGAGCAAAGAAGTCGGTTTGGTTTTAAATCACGCTCCATCATTGCAGATGACAAATCCAAAATCAGATAAAGGTGACGCATCTACAGGACAAATAATAAGGGTAAAATGAGCTTTACCGGAATCCTAGTGGATTAGCAGATCGTGAACAGGGGTCGAGAAGAGACCTCGCTACCCGCCTGAGGCAATTCGTCCATGGCAAAGACTCAATAAACGTGAAATACTGCGAAGAACATTTGTCGAGTCACCCTGGAGTGCCTCAATGTGGACTCAGGTCCATACAAGTGACACTTGTGGAGGCGAAATCGAGTAAGATGTTGTGCAATGAATGAATCGAGCTTGGGCGCGTGGATTGTTCATCTGGCACCAGGAGGAATCACGGCTTTGACAATGTAGCACCGTAGCCATGGTTATTTGAGATTTTGAGCGCATAAAATGCCCACATAATACTAGCGTGGAAATACTGCTCTTACCCAAATTCAGTTCTGCTGTAAAGAAATTAGGATACCTATAGACGATGTCGTTTTATTTCTAGATTAAATAAATGCTGCTGCCTTGTTTGCGCACGCTATTTATAGGTACAGAACATATAAAGCAATTAATTATGCAGACGCCTAGTGAACAAACATTTGAAAGAACTTGCGTGCACCATTGTAAAAAAGGAAGCCCGAATCGTGTATAAGGTACGTCCGGGATGTTTGGTGTTTTAAGAGTTTTGATAGAGGAACAATTCTATTACAGTCACGAGAGCCATTATTTATGCACATTAAAGTGTTCTGTAAACTCTAATCTGTCACCGATATTTTTGATGGATGAAAACAGGGAGGACCCATTGAATTCGGCAAGGATCTGGTGTTGGCTGATATTTAAGCTTATCACAACCAAACCAACTAAGAATTACTGAAAAAAACTTCAGACATCATGACCGACAGTGATTTTACCCACTGAACACAGTAGGAGCAGGAGTGTGGGTTCTCCATCCGAGTTCGTTTGAGAAGAAAATGCAGCATCTGTTGAGTCGGCAGTAGAAATTTTTCCAGATGAAAAGGTGATCAGTTAATTAAAAAGCATACCCGGTGATTCCCAGAAAATAACGGTTGGCACCAGGTAAACCACCGTTAACACAAAGCCAGTCTTCATTCAATCAACTGTTATCAACGATGAGATATTGATTTCCAACAATACCGCAACTGTTTAATGCTATTCAGTGCAGTTAGATGGACTTAATACCATTTTACTTTAAAAACGCCACAGCTTTATCAACTGAAATGGTGCCAGTTTCTCAAATGAAAATGAAATGCCCTATAGATCCGGAATTGTACAGGAACAGGGATTTGGACTAGGGGGCCCTATCTCACCCTAATACGTTGTCCAGCTGTTGAACCACCGGCTTGGCACCTTCTAATATCAATGAAATATTTCGTACTATGAAAAACTCCTAGTGCGGCAACTATCGAAATCAGATTCAGAAAAGATTTACCGTAAATCATACTTTTACAGGACGGGAGCTAAAAGTCCGTTATAGATATGCAAACGTACTAAAAATTTAAGTCAAGGAACAGGGTTGACACCAATCTTTCTACCAGCAAGATCCCCTTCAGCAATCCTAAAAGTTATTCCAATCTAATATAAACTGCTGAGAAACGGTCACGGGACTCGTTTCTTTAAAACCCAAGGATGTTCCGGTTGCATCTTGTAACATACTTGGGAGTAATAATGTGTTTGGTGATTTGGCTAAAGACATTCGTCGCGATTGCCGAATGTACAAAAGTCAAGAAGGCAAACATGGCGCAAGAATTGAAAAGGGGTGACCGAGGCCGAAGTTTGAAAGAGGAGCGGCTCAACCCTACTTGTTGTGAAGTGGAAAGAAGAAAGCACATCACATACCATTCCCAAGCGCAAGAAACCAGTTTCCCCAGCGGCATTTGAGCGCCTCCGTTTTTGTCTGAGTTTGGCATGGGCATCACGAACCAAACGCTCTAGGTCGGTCGCCAAACTCCCCGACTGGTCCTCCTTTATTGCATCCCTAGACGGAGAGACAAGTTGATTAACTAAGTGTAAAACACACAAACCTGAAGCAAGGGTTAGCTGGCGGATCTTCATTATCAGATGAACCAAGGCGCAAAAAATAACCACGACAAGTCCGTGGTAACTGGTACCGGAGGCAATTAAGACGACTTTACTGAAGGCAGACAAAAGCACACAGTCACCGTCCAGCCCTCCGAAAAAAATGTCGACGGTGCTGCAGCAGTACCACCGGGGTCTACTCTGGAGTCTAGGAGCGTGCAGACATCTTCAACGTGACAGCAATTGCACTTACGAAATGAATTAAATACACATTGCACCTGAAGTCGAAGAGGCAAGCCTAGTTTTGTCTAACAGGACCCTGTCCCTAATTGAAGCACAAGAGCAATGCGCAACATCGGCCGAATAAACCCCTATTGCCAGCCCCTCTCCTCGTACCGGGCAGACGCCAGATTGATTGACGTCGCTCGCTTTCCCAGATGGGATGCGTGTGTGTGAGGCAAAGACCAACCCAGTTGCACTGTCCGCCACCCGCCTCGGGGCGTGCAGGAGCACGGAGATGGGGCACTTGTGGGTGAAGTAACAACTAGATCTTTGTTGCATGCAAGCCCCCACTAATCACACCGATTAGCTGACTGACGTGGTCACACGTCTAAAACAGGCCTCGGACCATCGGTTTATACAACAAAACCAGCACCCCCTTTCTAATGAACGCTACGTAGGGGAAAACATGACCCGCAACTCCATCCAAGTAACGTGCACCAGCGGAGCAGAAAGATCGGATATTTCAAATTGAGAGAGCCATTGTGGAAGTTTACCATCCTACTGAATTAATGAACAATTTAACAAAACTCAAGTGTGCGATCACCCGATCCCCTCCCCGAATTTCGTCGTTATATGCCCCCATAAGGACCAGTGTCAAATATAAGCGTGGGCAAGGCGTTCTGTTAGTTGCTACTACTCCGCAAGTATCGAAAGGACGCCGATTGGTCAGCACACAAACCAATCGGACTGCTTGAAACAAAGGCAAAGCGTTCCCCAAAAAGGTGCAAAAATTTAGTGCCTAAATTACCTTTATCAACCAATTGGTGACCTAACGATTCCAACTCAGAGATCCTTTTTTAAATTTCTGCTGCGCCCGGTTATTCGAACACATGGCGAGTGACATGAACAGTCAACTAACCATGATCCGTCTGTTGTTAAACATGTAGCAAAGTGAGAGCTGATGACGAGCTCCTAATGTCTTAAAAAAATACAGATAAAGCTAAAAATAGCAATGATGACTCAGCCCTACCATTTGTCATCAAGCAAAACGTTTCATTGAGGCACACGTACACAGTTGACTCTCAAATGACAGCTAAAAAACAACTCCGACCGGAATGTATGGGCGAAGAAAATTTTCAGGCTACGCGATTGGACTTTTGACATGACAAGTCAGAGTTCAGGTTAACAAAAAGCCGTAATAATACGCATCTTGAAGCACTTGACGTCAGATTCGAGTGATTGCTGTGAATACGGGAACCCAGGTCTGGGTGTTAATGATCTCTAAAGCCAATTAACAAAGTAAAATTGGAGGCGACAACACGAACTAAAAATAGCAAGAAGAGTTTCTATAAATAAAGGTCTAGGAGACTATTTTTGGTTGATGAGGGGGCAAGTGTGTTTGAGCTAGTAAATGGAACCAAAATGACTGAACTAGCATATTTTCGTTCAGTCGCCTGCGTAGTCGCGTCGTGTAAATGATAACCAAGAGAGAAACCCGGCGAGTAGAAATATTTCGTTAGCAAAAAGTAAACAAGAGGGCTCCTCACCAAGTCTTTTCGTAGCCAGAAGCCCAGCGGTAAGTGCGCTTCTCTGAGGGCTGCGTCATTGCCTGGAGCAAAAACAAAGAGAATACAAAGTGACGTGATAGATAGCATATCTGGGAGGCACGAACAACACCTCCCCAACTTGGTCATAGTTAGCCTACGTATGCGAGCAGTCAAAGCGCCGTTTCCGACGCGACAACCCCAGGTTAGTGACAATCAAGTCAAAAGTAAAAGGCAAATATCTCATGAGATTTAAGGATTTTTGCATTAGTTACAACGAAACCTTTTCAAGATATAGATGCATGGAAGACATTAATGCCATTGATAATTTACTTTCACCCAGCAAAGACATGAAATATTAGCATAGCCTGAGGTCATTAATGTAAGAAGGACCCCACCGGCAGGACCTCAAAGGAGTTGAAGCATCGCCCATCATTTTGACAAATGAAACGGAGTATCCTGTTCATCAAAATTTATTGACATTGTTTTCCTTCCGCTTTAATCAATATGCGGGTTCATCGGCCCCACAATGGCTGGTGAAATGGCAGGCGATTTAGAATTATGCTCATAGACAGAAATGCGTTGTTTTAGCGATTTTTCTTGGGCGAACCAGCCCAAAACGAGCAAGAGGCTTCGTCAAATAGACGAATTTAAACGCCTTAACCTAAGCGGCAAAGTACACGGCATCAACGCATTAGACATGAGTTACTTTACTAAGCAGGCCCACTTTAACTCACTTAAAGATTTGTTTCAAAGGTATTTTTGGAATCTCCAAACATTCTTTAAACCGAAACAGGGCCAAAGGGCAGTAAGTGCTTGGCGAATAAAGCTAATGAGATGAAAAAGCAAGAAGGTACAAAACAGCATGGTAAAAAACCGGAGTTAAGCAAAAAACCTAAGTTTAATTTAAACAAGACGCAAGATAAGATAACACAAAGATTAGATAGGGCGTAAGATGTAAGACATGGTGTTCACAATGGTATTCCTACTTATCTTAAAATTGCCATGCAAAGCTTGAGGATACCTAAACGACACAAGAAAGACCCTTTTACCATCTGGCATCTGGTAGCGCGCCAGATGAGGACGAGAACCCAATCAATTTATGGATAGAATATCGGTTGAAACCACAGTGAACCTAAGACAGGAAGTGGCGAATAGAATTTAACACTGGATTTGTGTTAAGAAGAGAACATCAAAACACGATATGTGAGCTAAGACGACAGACGCAACTGAGGCGAGGACGTAAGTTTGCATGGCACTTGCACGACAGCCCTCTGAGCAGTACACACAGATTAAAAAGCCGTCACCGATGTCGTGAAACCCCATAGAAAATCAAAATATTAGGAAAAAAATCCAGACGGGGATACGAACCATTAGAAAAAAATACACCCAGAAAAAAAGGATACCAAAATTACTCTAATATACTGCCTCGAAGAAGCGATGCAACACAGCAGATTTACTAGCTACATCGGAATTGGTTAAAGGCGTAGACGTGACTTCTCCGAATTCGTCTAACCAAGGTGGTCACATTTACGGATCGATGAAAGGTACACCTGCGTAATTAGAACCAATATCGAACCACCCGACTAAATCGAATGCAAATGATAGTTTCTATTCATTGTGGTTTGTGAAAATCCTTCTCACTGTAAAACAGATATCTTCAAATGGAATCAATGCGTTGGAAAAAGCAAAAGATAGATTAGAAAAGAAGAATCAAGCTCTTGCAAGAGAGAGATAGGGAGAAGGGAAACTCCGGGCTTACAGATGACGCTGTTGACAAGATGGCTAAGACTGTATTGCCGAATGACAACAAAAAAACGCGTTAATGACCGAAGGCGTTGCACGAAGATCGACTTCAGCACCTAACTGACACTGCTCTAGCAGTTTGGTCCATACTTCAGGCGCATTGAGCAGACTTGCTCGACGACACAACTTGCAGTACTAAGTCAGCAAACTGTAGTTGTGGCAAAAACTGTCACGACATTCCAATGAACCCACGCAAACCAAGCCAGGAAGGCCAGTTTAAGTAACAAGACAATGAAGAAATCACTGGTGCTGGCTTTTGGGGAAGACAGGAGGCAATCACGTGCAACCACCACGAAGACCTCCACTGGGAAGTACAATTGGAATTCCAACAGTTAAACCGCAATTGAAGCTGCGCTGCGCGATTCCCCATTCAAGCATAAGCTATTTGGTCCGTTAAAGGCTACTCCCGCAAGGACACTATTTTAAAGCCTACTTTCGCGATTGACTTTATCTGTTCATATTTCGTCAAATAAAAAAAAATTAAGTGTACTACTATTTGGGTCCCTGCATTAAGTAGCACATCAAATATTGACATGGAGCAAAGACAACATAAAATTTTGGTTGTCTACGAGTAAATGCTATTATTAAAGTGCATCAAGTTGCGTAGGGAACACAAAGAAAAGTTTTGGATCATAAGGAAAGAGATAAAACTCTAACCTTCCAGAAATTCATTAAATCACCCTTCTGGATGAATTTTCATTTAGACAGTTGTAGATGATCATAAACCTAACTGAGAGCATGAGTGAATGTTGGTGCCGCACAAGATTTGCAAGCCAATATAAAAAAGTACAAAACAAGAGCTAGCACTCGAAAAGAGAAAAAAAAAACAAGTCTATCAAAAGACGCATCTATGTTTTCTTAAAATTATGTGCGGGTCGAGTGTGCACTAGTACATAAACAATAAAACACATTGCAGCAAGTAATTAAGCATTTTCATGATACAAGGAAAAGAAGACGGAGTGAAGGTGGCGCAACAGCCAGTCGAAGGGCGGGGATATCACGCAATAGAGTCGTTCTGCAGACTGGCTTCAAAATGCTTCAGGTCGTAGACGGTAGACCAATTAATTGGGTCATACGATCCCAACCGCAGGCGACACAGGTCCGCCAAGTTGCCCACCAAGCCCCGATCGTAGGGGCTCTTGGGCAGCCCGCAAAGACACGAGGTGCACTTGGTGTGCTTTGTGTAGGCAGGCCAAACCAGACCCCCCGAGAACTCTACGTAGTGGTCCACATTGATGCGCTCATTGGTGGTCACATTGCCCCAGGCCATTTGGTGAAAGTGACCGACAAAGAGGAGGATCGTCCAAATGCTGTAGAATAGGGCGTTACCGAAGCAGTAGGCGATCCAAGGATGACAAAAGGTGGCCACTTTCATTGACGACCAAAGGGAGGACACTGGAAGTTGAAAAAAAACAACAAGCACTAAAATGCGTTCAATGCGATAGTAGAGGTCCAATGTGGCTTCATGTTTCGCGTGTAATGCGAGAAGTCACCAATTGAAAAATGAGGTATATTCATCACATGTGCAGCATAGAACATGCTTAGAATGCTTAACGCCAGTGTAAGAGTAGCGAGTTTACGGGACGAGTTAATTAAGTTGGTGGTTAAATAGTTTTGCCATTTATAATTTTTTTGCATACAAGAAAGTTCTTACTGAAAGAAAACGACTAGTTTCAGGTCTGGTCTCGTTTGTTTAATATCAGATAGTAGTACCTATGAATAAAATTTTATTTTCATGGAGCACTTTAATAAGGGAGCAACAAATAAAACGATGTGGTTCTGCCACTGACTAGACTGACTCCGTTATCATTAGGCATACAGTGAAGCGAAGGGATGATTGTATAAGGTTTTGCCAAACAAATCTAACAGATAAGACGTGGCCAACTGGCGGCGTTGTGAGAGCGTAAGTAAATATTCTGCAAATCAGCTTAATTAATGAAAAGCGAAGGAATTTGCAGTTAGTTAGTTTTGCTTAGCCGCTGCAGTAACCCCAAAGGCAGTCTGACGGTTTCTAAAGCCTCAGCCAGGCCCCTTATTGTTCAGATTAATTTGATAATTAAACTGCGCTTTACGCGATGGACAAGAAACATAGACCGAAACTCTCACGGAAAATTACAAGCCCGAGATTGATTAAAGAAGAGCCGGAACAAGAATGTTGGTCACAAAGCAAACAAAACAGCAGAAATACATAAGGACAGCAATGGTGTGAACCCACCTACAACACAAAATACGTCATCGACGTAAAAAAGGAAGGAAGAGGGAGATAAGAAGGATGTAAGCAAATAGCAGACGTGGACCAATACGAACCCCGGGTTGGGCGTACAATATCGCACTCGCGCTCAAACACTTCAGAACAACACCACCTCTGCATTACATATCCCTACACAGAGTCAGTAGTAAATGGTCATGTGTCGTCTTCAGACATATCCGCAAGTGAGATCATTTTGGACTTCAGGCAAAATGAAAGTGAGAATGTTGTCGAGAATATTAACTCAATCTACGAACGCAAACCGCTTGCAATCCATTAGTGAGGCAACACCTTCTCACTTTATAGTTTTTTCGTAATATTCTACTACAAACTCATATCTGCTGGGCTCACAAACGGCTCAAATACAAACACATTGTCAATAGCTTGCAAATTGAGTACTAAGGCCATTATCCCTGTTTTTTTTTTCCAGAATTTTACCACTTTGTTTGACTTTTAGGGTTTGATACTTTATTGGATTTTTTGCGAAAAGGAATACAATTAATTTGCTTGTGGGATAGAAAGTGAATTTATGATTTTTAAGGAGCTCCTGCAAATGCAGTAGTGGCAAGCCTTGTACAACATTGGCTGTGCTTAGTCCATCAACACAATCCCGCAGTTGAGATTTCCAAAAGCACTTGAATTTTATCAGAAGTATCGGAAAAGCAAAGACCGGGGGCAAAAGCATCCCAGCTGATAGCGTCTCACCACCTAGTTAAGAAATCAAGACCTGAGAAAAAACAAGCATTTTGTCGGACAAAGAATACCAATGTGTCTGATGGGTTGAGAGTCAAATTTGGCGTAAAAGTGGCACCCCAAATTTGCAATTTACTTCGTGGTGGCGCTATCATGCAGTCTTCAACCTTTCGAAAAATGGGTGCCCCAAAGGTCAGCCCAATGTGGAATTAACAACGGTAGCTGACACTACAACTGCACGAACACTTATGAATCGGGCCGCACGTTTAGAAAATTTGTAATGTAAGAAGCAAGTAAAAAACAGGTCAAACGACAATCACATGAGGTCAGCGCTTTAAGGATCATAGAACTTCTGAGCGTGCAACAAAAATGGAGCATTTAGCTCTAAAAATACGGGTTCACACACTTCTATTAGGATTCATGGCATACAGAAACACAAACAGCGCGGTCCGAGTCAGTTAAATTCCAAGTAAAGTGCCGATCTAGCCCGTATTGATTTCAGAGAAAAATTCGCTTACTCATTGAGGCACCGGCGGCCTGTTGATAGTCGTAGCAGGAAGGCACCGATAACCAAAAGAGTAACGCCTCATACATGAAGAGCAGGAGTGAGAGCGAGGTGCTCAAAAGGTAGATGATAAACCAATGGTGATTGTTCTGTCCCACACAATTGTACACCCAGGGGCAGTGATGGTCGAACCTGGCAACACAGCGGTTGCAGGTCCTGCAGTGCTTCGATCGGACCGGCTTTCTAGCCAGACACGTAGTACAGAAACGCTTGAGGAGTGCAGGTCCTCGCTCACCGGAGGAGGTCCCACCAATGATCCTCTGCACCTCGGCGTCTACGACACCGACAACTGCGTCGGTGTGGCTTCTTTTGTCAAGACACTTGCTTCCACAGGCGATGAAACCGGGGTCGGTGGCCGCAGTGCAATACAGCGAGAACCAAAGGGCCGTGAGGCAAGCGCATATTGCGAAGTGGGTCAACGTGTGCCCTGAGCCGACGGTGGGGGCGAGGAGGAGAAGGGCTGTTAGTGTCAAGCTGGCGGTGGTGATAAGTCCCAGACTGAAGACTATCAGGAACTGAGAAAAAGAGGTGGTGAAATGTGGCAGTTACTTCAAATTAGTCTGGTGCTACTGGCACTCTTCACCGTGCCGAAAACCCAGGTCCCGACACCTTGTGCAACTGGCTTGTAGGGATTCGTTCCTGTCCGAAATTAAATCAAATCAGTAGGCATAAAATACCGTTCTAGGGAATATAATTTGCATTAAGTAGGTAACATTCCAGTGATTGCACACAAATAGCAGTCAAAAAGATAAAAATTCGAGCGAGGAGGATGAATTGAAACCACAGTACCAAAGGAACAAAACGTTCAATGTGCTCTATAGTTCAAAATTACAAGAAAATGAAACAATCAATGATACAAGAGAACTTAAATATTCTTTATACGATTGAAGACATCTAAATACTTGAAAACTTACACCATACTCACTGATATGCAAGTTCCAAAAAGTTGAGCGAAGCCGCCAGAAAATGAAGACGATAGTCAGTACTTTTAGCACATAGGCCATCCAGGCGGGTGTGGGGAGGTGACCAGGGAAATCCAACTGGAGGATTACTCCAACGAGGAGGAATCCGAAGGCGGGCAGGAAGAGGGCAGTGAAGGTGAGTCCCTTCTTAGTAGAGCACCAGAGTGGGGAAAGACGGGAAAAACAGCCTGCAGTGGAGGAATCGCTTGTGCTCATTTCACGCAGCTCTGGCGCTGGATGTAGAGCTCTGGCGACCGCCAGCTGTTTCACCCGCTGGTTCATCCATGCATGCGCCGACATCTGCATAAAAATTGGCAGAGAAAGGATCTGAAGTAGGCTCTTTTGCCAATCTGCTTGACATCAAGAGATACTTAAATGGAAACGACGGAAACACAAGGTAAGTCCCCACCACCTGCTCCTGAGTTGATTCTTATTTTCAAGGTGGATCACGA